ATTCCTGCCTTGAAGTTTTGAAAAAAAAGTAAATAAAAAAATAAAATAAAATAAATAAATAAAGCCCTTATGATAATCTTAGAAGAGGTATTATACGATCATGAAGACTGTAACTATTTATGAGATTGATGTCGGATTTTGCGACGCATAATCCCACAACCCACGCGCACGCAGCGATTCCAAAAGAGCGCCGCCACTCTGTCCAGTCGGCTCATTCGCTCCTAATCACTCCAATCCCTCACTCAAACCCAAGTCCACCTGTCGCCACTAATTAGCGCCAGTAATGAGTGCAGGTGCCAGCACAGGTGGAGTGCCAATTAGAGCGACAATCGGCCCTTGAGTGGTTGCGGTGAGCGGCCGGCCAGGCGAGAGCCCGGACGAGGAGGGACGCCCGCGCGCTCCGGCGGGGCTCACCGGGCGAGGCGCGGCGGCGGCGACTTTTCTCCGCGCGCCGTCGTCTGCGTTTCGAAACCACGTTAACATGGCATGCTCATGTTCGCATGCTTTTACAACTGTTAGAACACATGCACACACGCACATATTACTTTCTAAAACAGACAACCCTCAACAAATTACGTTTAGAGATATTCATTTCTCACACATATACTCTTTTTTTCTCTTTACACACGCACGCACACACACATACAGACACACACTCACATATACAGACACACACACACAAAATACTTCAGTACCCAGTTGACTCCAGGGAACCTAATACATTAGTTTCCAATAAACACCTAAAAGTCATGTGTCATCCGCAAACCGATAAACGGCGCGCCATAACTGCCTCGATGCACTGCAATAACTGCCAGCGATACGAAAAATGGAACGTGGATGGTTTTATAATAGTCGTTAATCTAAAGGGCGGAGGCGTGGTCTGAATACGCTAGCCAGGCGCTCCTGGTTCTCGCTTTCATTTCCAAGGGCGCCGGGAGGAGGAGTACCCGGGGCTGGGGATTCTGAAACGCACTGGCAGACACAGATGGACGGACGGACGGGCAGATAATCACAGATACATACACTTACATATACATGCGAATACACACATATATACAGACACACAGACAAACGCAAACAAACAACCACACGCACATACATTCTCACACACTCACCCACACAAATACACACACACACACGCAAACACCTGACTAAAAACACACACAAAATGCAAGACTTCCCCTCCCTCAAGTCATTAAGCCGCGACCTAAAATCTGATAAATGACGAAAATCTGACTGTATCTTTTCGTCCAGTCGCGGCATTTATCACAGTCTTAAGGCTGTCTCTTGCCACTGTATTTTTTTCGTTTTGCTTTTTCCTGTATTTATCACCATCAAGTGAAGAATAAAATAAACGAATAAACGAGGTATAAAGGAAAATTCCATTAGGCCTCGTGAGTAGATTATAAGATCCTAATATAAACAAATTGCTGAGGTAAGAAATAACCGTCTTTCTCACGGAGACAACGTTTCTGCTTAGGGCTGCCCAAGTAACGTTTTTATATATATATAATATATATATATATATATATATATATATATATATATATATATATATATAATATATATATATATATATATAATATATATATTATATGCATATATATAATATATATATATATTATATATATATATATATATATATATATATATATAATATATATATATATATATATATATATATATATATATATATATATATATATATATATATATATATATATATATATGTATATGTATATATATATTATAATATATATACATATATATATATACATATATACATACATACAGACATACAGATACACACACACACACACACACACACACACACACACACACACACACACACACACACACGCACACACACACACATACATACATACATACATACATACATACATACATACATAAATAAATATAAATATAAATATATATATATATATATATATATATATATATATATATATATATATATATATATATATTTATATATGTATAATAAATAAGTAAATGTATATATACACATAATGTATATATATATATATATATATATATATATATATATATATATATATATATATATATACATACAATATATATATATACATATATATATATATATATATATATATATATATATATATATATATTCATATCATGTTTGTGTACATACATATGTATGTGTATATTCATATCCATATCATCGTATGTATGTATGTATATATGTATATATATATATATATATATATATATATATATTATATATATACATATATATGTACGTCTGTATACGTATACTTATTGATATATATACACACACACAAAAACACAGACATACACATATACACACTCACACACACTCACATAAACACACACATACACACACACACACACAGACACTTTTCCTTTTGCACACTAAAGCTAATACCTTCACACGTAAACCGCACAATAACTGATTTAAACAGACAGATATCTTTAATCAAATCCTGACAGGACATACCAATTCTATCCTATCTCCCCGAAAGCATACTAAACAAAGTCTGGAATAAATGACGTAAATCAATTATCCAAATCAAAAATAGCGTTCGTGTTTCTCCAGGCTGCAAGTCCCTTTTCATTCACCAGTTCCTTTGCTCTCCAATGATGCAGTCTCCATCCGGGGCTTCAGTCAGCTGGCGACGCGGTGACAAAACTCTACGGCCGCGCAGCCACATTTCACTTATCAAGCATACTTCCCTCTCTTAACTTGGCATTGACTCCTGACTTAATTTGCTTATCTATCTATTAATTCATCGGTTGATTTGTGTATTAATTAATCTATTTAACTATCCGCTAGGAAAAACTTTTGAGGGAAAACTACAAAAGGCTAGTAAGGTGTAATTGCATATGATTTCATGATTAACAGCGGAGTTTTCGATACGGCTGCTGTTTCTCCCCTCGCTAAAAACACAGCTGGAGGGGCCAGAGGAAAAGAACACGGGCTAAGGGGAAACGAATGTGAGGGGAAGAAAACAGAACATAGGGTAGATGAACATAAAGAAACTAAAGGACTAAACACAACTGTAACCCATATATAGCAACAATAATAATACCAGCATTAACTAGAACTAATGATAACACCAGCAATAATAACCCCACCAACAAAAGTGATAAATATAAACCAAACCCAAATAATCTACAATTACACACACGCACACACAAAACATACAAAAAACACGCAAAATGGCACAAACCTCCCCAGCAGGACCGAGCCAATCCGCCAATAGCCCGGACCCCCCCCCCCCCCCCACCCCCGCTCCCCCGCACCCCGGCCCCTTTTCCCTGACGCTTCAACGGAGCCGATCACTCACCCTTTCTGCGCGCGTCAATGCAAGGCAACGGACACAATGCCTTTAACACCCTGTTTGTCTCTATTGTTGGCTAATGACGTAATCAACTTTTAATCATTTGGAAATGTTTAGAGAAACGGGGAGGAAATGAATGGGAAAGAGGGGGGGAAGGGATTCTGGTCCTTATGTTGGTAGGTGTAGAGGCGGTATTGCCTCTGCTCTTGGGAGGGGTGAGGATAAAGCCACAGGTTGGTACAGAAGGTGATAAACAACAAGGGAATAATAAACATACAATTGGGTTGTGAGCCTATTAGCCTCGGGTTAGGTGTAGTACTAGGGAGGGAAGGGTGGAAAGGGGGGAAAGGGGAGGAGGGGAAAAGAGAGGAGGAGAGGAGGGGGAAGGGAGGAAGAGGGAGAGGAGGGGGAAGGGAGGAGGAGGAGGAAGATGAAGGGCGGAGGAGGGGGAAGAGGAGGGGAGAAGGGAGGAGGAGGAGGAGGAAGAGGAATATGAAGAGGAGTGGGAGGACGATGACGAGGAAGGAGAGGAAGAGGATGATAAGGATGACTATGATTGTGGACAAAGACAAAGAGTGAATAAAAAGAAACACAGTGATGATGGTGAAAATAGCGCGGAGGTTGTCTTAAACATTCCCCAAAGCCTAGCAGTCACGGAAGCCTCGAGAAAAGCCATTTCCCTTGCCGCGGGGTCGGAGCAAGGGCCGTGATGGCGCTTTTGTCATCGTCTGGGAAACTGCCAAGAAATTGGAACATGCAGTCACGGCAGTCACGCGCCTCACGATTACTCGCGACAAACAACACGGTGCGTGGCGCGACAGGCCCCGAGGAATGAGGATGATGTCGGGCGGCGCCGCATGCACGCTGCTGAACGTGCCGCGGCAGCCGAGCCGCAGTCCAAGTGCGGCGCTGTTCATTGTTGCACGCGGTGTGAACTACAAAATCGGATTGAAGTCAGACAAAAAATGATATCCAGGCCCACGTCGGACAAGGTCAGAGGAAATTATTCAGTCGCCGCGGACCATACTGATGGCCGCAAAAGTTGCGTCCAATTGCATCAGTTGTGACATATTGTGCTGACGTCACACTTGCAACACATCGTGGTCGTGATGTAATTTTGCGCTCCAGACGTCCAGCGAAGTTTCCATTTTGAAGACAATGCGATTTTGGAATCAACAAGCGGCATAAATTCGTACTTTTTTTTTTTTTTTTTTTTTTTTTTTTTTGAAACACAATCCCCCCCCTCTCTCTCTCAAACTCTCGCTCCCTCTTTCCCTCCCTCTCTCTCTTTGTCTGCCTGCCTACCCCTCCCCCCCCTCCGAGAAGCGACCTCAGAAGAAAGCACAGCACACATCCCAGAGGCAAGCGAGCGCGGCGGCCGAGAATGTGCACCACTTACGCGCCAGGGAAGACGACTGGCGTGAGGGTTGGGGGAAGCCAAGGGTGCGAAGGAAAGAATGGAGAGGAAACAGGAAACGAAGAGGGTGGCGCAAGCGAGGGAAAAGACAAGAAGGCGAAGGGGAAGGAAACAGAGGGAAGGGGTGGATGCATAAAGTAGGAAAGTGATGGGGACAGAGAAAAAAGAAAAGAACGAGACCAAGGTGTAGGAGAAATAGAGAGGAAACGGAGAGTGAGGAAAACTACACAAAAGGA